ATCCAGTATAAGCCTTCTGCAGTCCCGAGGCCAGGTGTCATGCGCGCCCATCTAATTGACGCCTGCTGGCGGCCATCTTTGTGATGTACGCCGGCAGGGAGGAGGGGGCGTTCACCTGGCGGGATGAGATATGCCTGTGGGTCCCCTCCTCTCTCCTGACACTGTCAGGCTCTAGGTCCATGACCAAGTGCCCGACTTTTTAGAGGGGGTAACACCAAAATGACTGTCAGTCATTTTGGTGTCACCCCTCCAATGGTGTCACCTGGGTGCGGGCCGCATGCCCCTTGTGACGCCACTGCCCTGTACATAGGTAAAATCAGCACTAGTAGATCTCTTCAGCAGTGTAGCGTATTTTAATGGAAGAGATAGGAAGGATCATAATCCTCCAGCAGAGCTAAATATTTCAAGGGAGGAGAGTTAGAGGAAGGAGAAGAGTTCTCCAGCAGCACAGAGGACCTATGTAAGGGTTGAAGGACCCTAAGTTATCTCTCCTGCACTTACATCATGTTACATGTAGTAATATCCTCTGAGGGGGAGAGTAGGTGTCTAGCCCTGGGCACACACGGTAAATGGTCATAAGCAGTCCTGCGTGATGTCCTCACGCAATGTTTCCTCTCGTAGCAGTCGCTGTAGCCTGATACTGGAAGGTAGTTCTTCTCATTTAAGTAAATCATCTTAGAATATAATAATTTCCCGCATATTTTTAGTCGCACCACATCAGTTTCACGCTGTGACCGTTAATTCTTGCCAACTGTATCTCGCCTTCTCTTACTTAACGCAGTCATTGTCTTTGTGTGACTTTGGAAAGAATCCAGGCTAATGTATATTAAGGATGTATATGTCTTACCGCCTCGTCAAAGCGGAGTTTTCTCTTCTGGTGCCCCGCGTTCTATACATAGAGCGCAGTCAAAGGACAGCACAGCGGGATATAAAGACTTTATTGAAAAATACATTTCTGTAGTCCACTTAAATTTTACAAGATCGTTTTGAAGAATCTAATAGATGCTTAATGGAAAACAGCCGCAGCAGGAGGCCCGCTAGAGGATCATGTGCTGGTAGGTGTATATTTTTTAGTGTATTTCCAACAAATATCTTCTTTTTTTTTCACGGATAAATTAGTCTGTCGATTCTTTATATACGTGCTCCGCGTTCTTTTGTTTTACTGATCATAAAGGAGGACTGTTGTGTCTCCTCCATGTTTCAGAAGTAATGACGAGTAATAAGTAAGTGATAGGGACAAACAGAAGTGGAAAGAGCAAAGTCCCAAGGCAGTGCCGAGTATTTGAGTAGGGGAGAGTTATAGGAAGGAGCAGAGTACTCCAGCAATGAAGACTATTTCAGAAAAGACGTGTTAGATAGAGGAAGGAGCAGAGGGAAGTATTTTACAAGAGGAGAGTTAAATAATTGGAGGAGCAGAGTCCTCCAGCAGGGCAGAGTATTTCAGGAGAGGAGAGGTAAATAGAGGAAGGAGCAGAGTCCTCCAGGAGCACATATTATTTGAGGAGAGGGGAGTTATAGGGAGGCACTGATTCCTACAGTAGTATTAGTATTTTAGGAGAGAAGAGGTGGACAGAGAAAGGAGTAGAGTCCTTCAGCAAATCATTTTAGCAAAGGAGAGGTAGACAGAGCAAGAAGTAGAGTCCTCCAGCAGAGCAGAGTATTTCCAGAGAGGAGAGTTGGGCATGTCATACATTTATCATTTTTTTTTTATTCTCCCCCTGCTGGTCCATTGTATCCTGCCTAGGGATGGACCTGAGCTCCTCCACCTCCAGAACAGGGGGGTGAGGAATTCCCCCTCCTCAACTTGACATAAGCAAAGGGGCGGGATGCAGTGATGTCATTGACCTTATATGGCTTCATGCCTATATTAGGTAAATTACATCAGCACAAGCATCCCACCCCTTTGTTTACAAGCAGCTGTGGGGTGGGGTTTGCCTGTAGCGCAGATGATGTAAGTGTGCTTGGCATGGGTCGAGTCCAAACCTGAACTCATCCCTAATCTTGAAGGCAGCTGGTGTGCGGCTGTCAGAATATCCAAACAGTGAGTCACTGTTCAGCTGAGAATTTTCGGACTGGCTCCTTTAATTGAATTGCCAACTGTTGTTGAATTGGGGATGTGTCACGTACCTGGTAAGAGACTGGAAGGTGAGGAGGCTTCTCTTGCGACTCATGTCCCTCTGCCCCTATAGGTGAGGGCAGGGAGCGGACGGACAGTGAGGAGCACGAGTGCCACTGATGGGAACCGACACCGTGCAGGAGACATCACAATGGCATGTAGTCCGCAAGCCAGAGGTCCACCGAGCAGATGGTAGGAAACAGGAACAGGAGGCAGGAGCGAGTTCAGGGAAGCCAGAGGTCAGAGCCAGCCGGGCAGCAGAGTACAAAAACCAGGAGGCAAAGGCAAAGTCCAGAAACAGGCCGAGGTCAGGGGCAGGCAGCAATCCAAATAGCAAAGTCCAAAACAATCCGGGTCAGGCCGGTCACAGGAATCAAACGGGAACAAGCACACAGGAACACAAGCTGAAAAGACCATCAGCAAAGGAGCAAGGGCAGACTCGTTCTTATATGGTGAGCTCAATCCAGATAGCAGCATCACTTCCTGTGTGACAGCCGATGCAAATGTTTCCGCGCACTTTCGGTTTGGGTGCGCCTGCTTACAATGGGACGTTTTCCGGCCACATGGAGATCTGGCTTGCTAGTATGCGCAGCCGCCATTTTGCCCTTACAGGGGGGGTCCCAAGAGGGACATATCGACACGATTTGTACCGAGGACCATCTTCTGTTTTCACAGTGACTGCATACAGATTTTGGATGCCGCTTCTGAATTAAGCATCAACATTGTTGTCACAACAAGCAAAAGTCTTTTTTTTTTCATTAATAACAAAACAATAAAACTTGGAAACAAACCAATATTTTTTTTTGTGTGTTCCTTTTAAAGCAGGCAGCCAAATAAACTCATTACATTTTCATTTGCGAGCCCAATAGACTCATAATCCAACGTTAAATACCGTATGATTTCCTGTAAAATAATACAAACGTTTTATTAACGGACAAATTCTAGGTATTGTACGTTGGCGATGGCGCCGGGCCAAACACCCTCCAATTCATTGTTCCGTCAAGGTCTCCAACGTCCCCGTAATTATTATTTGTTGTGCGAGCTGCGGACTGTTCGCCGTTCTATCTAACAAAAACCACATTTACCGTCGGCTTTATACGGCAAGTGCTTAGTGCGAACGCGGGGCTTCTAATCCTGGAAACTTTGGTTTTGGAAGTGTTTTTGTTTTGTTTTTTTAAAGAAGCGAGCTCGCAATTCATTACGGACAAAGCGTTTCGCAAAGTTCCAGAACTGCTTCTCAAGATTTTTCCTTGTTGCCGTCTAATTGAATATTGATTCGCTTCCTCCTAAAATGCTATGACCCTTTCTTTGTATGCTTATTTGTTAACAATAGAGGGAATGGTGGAAGAAAGTTAAAGCTGAACTCCGGGCCGAGACATAAATGCATGCAGCTCTGTGTTCAATAATAGGTCACTAAAGAGTAAGCCCAGGCAAAATGACATAGTCAGGTTGAGAAAAGACACAAGTCCATCAAGTTCAACCGATATAAAAAAAATACCACTAACAATAATTAAAAATATATAAACAATAATGATTACAAATTATATTACATTTTGTTTAAATACTAATAATTAGGGATGCACCGATAACGATACTAGTATCGGTATCGGTGCCGATAAATGACGCAGCACCGGCATTCTGATTGGCCAGAAAGGCGGCGTCATGCTCCCTTGTCATCTAATGAATCATAATATTAAGAAACTGACCTTAAGTCATTAGTTTGTATTGCTTTAGAAAAAATGTGACCTGTCCTTTTAAGAAAAAGTATCGGTAATTGGTATCGGGCGAGTACTTGATCAAAAGTATTGGTACTCATACTCGGTCGTAAAAAAGTGGTATCGGTGCATCCCTACCAATAATA